AATGCTTTCCTCAATGGTGAGTTAGAAGAAGAAGTCTACATGGAAATTTCGCCTGGTTTTGATTCTGTGAAGGGAGAAAATAAAGTTTGTAAATTAAAAAAGGCCTTGTATGGATTGAAGCAGTCACCTCGTGCCTGGTTTGGAAAGTTTACTAAGGTTATGATGACCTTAGGATATAAACAAAGTCAAGGAAATCACACTCTTTTTTTCAAGCACTCCCAAAATGGGAAGCTTACTGTGCTCCTTGTATATGTTGATGATATTATTATCACAGGTGATGATTTTGTGGAGAGACAGATTCTGCAAACACGGCTTGCCTCTGAGTTTGAAGTCAAAGACCTTGGGAAACTGAGATATTTCCTAGGGATAGAAGTAGCTCATTCGAGCAAAGAAATCTTTATCAGCCAGAGGAAATATGTTCTTGATCTTCTCAAAGAAGCAGGAAAGCTTGGGTGTAAACCCTCTAATACTCCTATTGAGCAGAATCACAAGATGTGCTATGAAGAGGAGAGTCCTCCAGTTGATAAAGGACAATATCAACGGCTAGTTGGGAAATTGATATATTTGGCCCATACTAGACCAGACTTAGCTTATGCTGTTAGTGTTGTCAGTCAGTTTATGCACGATCCAAAGGAGAAACATATGCAGGCAGTAGAGAGAATTCTTCAGTATCTGAAAGGTACTCCTGGTAAAGGGTTGTTATTCCGACGTGATGGCAATCTATCTTTAGAAGTCTACACAAATGCTGATTAAGCTGGATCCGTGACTGACCGTCGTTCTACCACTGGTTATTGCATGTTTCTTTGTGGTAACTTGGTGACATGGAGAAGTAAGAAACAATATGTGGTCGCCAGATCAAGTGCAGAAGCTGAATTTCGAGCTATGGCTCAAGGCATTTGTGAGTTATTGTGGCTGAAAATTGTACTTGATGATCTAAAAATAAAATGTGAGGGACCTATGAAGCTGCTATGTGATAATAAGTCCGCTATTTGTATAGCTCATAATCCAGTTCAACATGATCAGACTAAACATATTGAGGTCGACCGCCATTTCATCAAAGAGAAACTTGATAGCGGGTTGATTACCACTCCATACATTCCCACTGGGCGTCAATTAGCTGATCTATTGACAAAGGGGCTTCCTTCAGATAGTTTCAATAACTTGCTAGCAAGCTGAGAATGATAAATATCTATTCCTCAGCTTGAGGGGGAGTGTTGTAAATAGTAATTATGTAGTCATTTATTAGTAATTATGTAGTCATTTATTTGTATTTATTTAGTCTGTTACTTGTATATTGGGCCAAGCCCATTAGTTCAAAATTAGGTCAAGAAGTCTCTATAAATAGAGACCCCTATGTACAGATTCAAAAAAATATCAATAATATTTCATAACCCTTTTTCAAGTTGGATACCCTTTTCTTTCAAGTTGGTATCAGAGCAACTTCAAGAAGGTGACGATTTTTCCTTTCAGCAACCCCATTTTGTTGAGGGGTGTCTACACAAGTAAGTTCATGAATCATACGTTGATTTTGTATAAATTGGGAAAAAGAGTGATTGACATATTCAGTACCATTATCTGTCCTTAGTCTTTTGATTTTTTTACAAAATTGAGTCTCAATCATTTTATAAAATTGAAAGAACAGTTGTGGTACCTCAGACTTTTCACGCATTAAGTAAACCCAAGTTACACGAGTGCAATCATCAATAAAAGAAACAAACCATTTATAAAATTTTAAAAAAGAACTCCTTTGAGAAGAGGTCATACTGCACATAAAATGGTTAAAGAAAAGCTCCAAGAAGCCAAAAAATCACAAATAAATACCAAACGATGTCCGATCAAAGAGAGGAGCACAGATCCAGAAAGAAGATGAAGGGACGATCAAGATCACGGTGGTCCGATCCGGAAAAATGGTCTCACGCGCCGCCACGTGCCGGTGAGATTGGCTGCGCGTGGGATTCACTCGCAGATGAAGGAGCGGCGCGTCTGGGCGCGTGCGGTGGCCGTCCGGTCTGAAATTTCTGGAGCAACGTCGTCCGGTGAGCTCGGTTCTTTCTGGGTCTGTTCGGAGTTGAAAAACCACCGGGAAAGGAGCCAATCGTGATGAACAGATGCTATCTTGTGATGAAGAATAATGGAGACGATGAACAGTAACAGAGACGATGAACAGTAACAGAGATCCAGTATAACAGAGATCTTCTCGGTCCAAGAGGTCCTCGGAAAAAATCCGGTGGCGGCTGATGGCAGCGAGAGACAAAAAAAATAAAAGGTTCTTGTTCTAAAGACAATAGGCGCGGAAGCAGAGCCCTCGGGATCGAGAGCTCTGATACCAACTTGAAAGAAAAGGGTACGAGAAATATGGGGTTATCATTTCTCAAGCTGCCGGAGATAATTTTATCTCCGCCTACTAAATCATAACCATACAAAGATGGATCAATGGTGATAAAGGAAGAGAGAGAAAAAGAGAATCATAACCATTCAAAGGTGAATCAATTAATATAAGGAAATAAATAAACAAAATGACGTCGTTTTGGGGTGGCCGGAGATAAACTTATCTCAAGTTGCCGGAGAAATGTTTTTCTCCATATATATAGATATATATATATATATATATAATCTTTCTTTGTTATTTGAATAGAATTTTTTTAATTTCTTAATTGTGATTGCTTAATTATGCCAGCCACTGAAGGTCATCAAATAAATTGCTTAACCGTACTTAACATTGCCAGCCACTGAATACGTATAGCTTGGATTCTGCAACAACGCAAGCACGTAATGATGAACTATTACATTCACAATATGATAAAGTTGATATGCTGGCAGCAAAGTCTGCAGAAAATCTGATATGAACCACATCCATCCCCATCCATCGTGTTAAAACACCGCTTTTCCCGTAGTTATAACTTAATTCTCGATTTTTTGTAAGATAATTAAGTTGTTATCCAAATGATTTATTGGATTCTCATTCTAATTTATTTCATTCTCAATTTTCTCAAAAAATCTTGTAGTCATACATAAATTATGTTGAGTTTCAAACCATAAATCATACTAACTCACTTTAACAAAAATATTTGAAAAAATGTTACTAGCAATAATTGAAATTCAATTTAAAATACATCATTCTTTTCTTAAAATTCACACCCTCATTCATATCAAGTTTCAAACATTAATTCATACTAGATTTTTAGCAAAACACAGACTAAATAACTTCATTTAAAAAGAGAGAGGGGGGGGGGGGTTTGCTTGAGTTTTTACTACCATGATTTCATTGATTTTAGATTGAAGAAATTATGTATTAAAATATACACAAACAGACTATACTTTTTTCTTTTTGATATGAATATAATATAACCCTTTAGGATGCATTCGACTGCAACAACTGTCATTAAGCATCTGGTTATGATTGAAGGCACTTCTAAGGAATATGTGTCATATTTCACTTTCTTGGTTTTCTTTCTGAGCCAGACACTATTTTTTCAACTCAAAAGCAAATTTAATGCATAATGATGTAGAAGCAAATTCTTGTAATTGAATAGACTAAATGATGCAGTATGAAATATGATTCAAAATTCTGTTTCTTGGTTTTCTTGCCGGGCTTATTAACCTAAAAACAGAAAAAACAGTAACTATGACAAAAAATCACACCTAATGATCGCCTAAACCTTTGACACACCCTACATTTTTAATAAAACTCAAATGGAAAATAACCTAGTAATTTAAGAATTAAGTTTGTACAAACATGACATTCTAACCATAATTCAAAGGTATGCAGCTTCTCTATCAACATTTGCACATACTTTTCTTTCCTTTTCTTTCCTCAAGTATCCACTTTTTCTTCAAATATTTCCAACTGCTCTCAAAATTCCCACTAACCCTCATCGCAATCATGTGAATCTCACTCCTCGAAGGGTATATCAATGCATTAGTGAATACAAGCCTCATATCATCTGCAAATTCTTCAGGTTTGTAATACAAACAATTGTTCAATCTGCACTCAATATCCTTCAAACCTATTGGCTTGGATACGACCTCAAGGTTATCAAGAAACTCGAAGACCTTAACATCAAGAGGTTGTTTGAAAGCCCAACCATCTCTTCCTACTATCAACCTCTTCAAGATCACCCAACACTGCATCTTGTTGTTTCTGTCCATGTTATATGCCCTTTTTTTCTTCTCTTTCTTGCACTCTGCACCTACATTCTCCAACTCACAAACTTGGGATGCAGTTCTTGACATTCTTCCGGAGTTTTCTTTGATGAAATATTTATTTGGTGGGGGTTTAGTCGTTCAATTTTTTTCCAGTAGTCCAGAAATTTCAGAAGCCTCGTTACTCATTTTCTTGTAATAAAATCAACGATCTCCATCTGTTGGCACCCTTCTTGAACGGTTCTTGAATGTTTTGCACCATTCATGTAAATCACAAGTGACTTTTGAGGTTCAGCCATTGAAGAGAGTTTGGTTGGCTTGAGTTTTTACTACCATGATTTCATTGATTTTAGATTGAAGAAATTATGTAGTAAAATATCCACAAACAAACTATATTTTTTTCTTTTTGATATGAATATAATATAACCCTTTAGGATGCATTCGACTGCAACAACTGTCATGAAACATCTGGTTATGATTATAGGCACTTCTAAGGAATATGTGTCACATTTCACTTTCTTGATTTTCTTTCTGAGCTAGGCACTCCTTTTTCAACTCAAAAAAAAATTCAATGGCTTATGATGTAGAAGCAAATTCTTGTAATTGAACAGAGCAAATGATGCAGTATGAAATATGATTCAAAATTCTTTTTCTTGGTTTTCTTGCTGGGCTTATTAACCTAAAAACAGAAAAAAAACAGTAATAATGACAAAAAAATACACCTAATGATCAACTAAACCTTTGATAGGCCCTACATTTTTAATAAAACTCAAAAGGAAAATAACCAAGTAATTCAAGAATTAAGTTTGTACAAACATAAAATTCTAACCATGATTCAAAGGTATGCATCTTCTCTATCAACATTTGCACATACTTTTCTTTCCTTTTCTTTCCTCAAGTATCCACTTTTTCTTCAAATATTTCCAACTGCTCTCAAAATTCCCACTAACCCTCATCGCAATCATGTGAATCTCACTCCTCGAAGGGTATAGCAATGCATTAGAGAATACAATCCTCATATCATCTGCAAATTCTTCAGGTTTGTAATACAAACAATTGTTCAATCTGCACTCAATATCCTTCAAACCTATTGGCTTGGATACGACCTCAGGGTTATCAAGAAACTCGAAGACCTTAACATCAAGAGGTTGTTTGAAAGCCCAACCATCTCTTCCTACCATCAACCTATTGAAGATCACCCAACACTGCATATTTTTGTTTCTGTCCATGTTATCTGTCCTTTGTTTCTTCTCTTTCTTTGACTTTACACCTTCCTTCTTCAACTCACAAGCTTGGAATGCAGTTCTTGACATTCTTCCGGAGTTTTCTTTGATGAAAGATTTATTTGGTGGGGGTTTAGTCGCTCTATTTTTTTCTAGTGGCGGAGAAATTTCAGAAGCCTCGTTTCTTATTTTCTTGTAAAAAAATCAACGATCTCCATCTGTTGACACGTTTCTTGGACGGTTCTTGAACGTTTTGCACCATTCATGTAAAGCTTAATCACAAGTGACTTTTGGGGTTCAGCCATTGAAGAGAGTTTGGTTGGGCTTGAGTTTATACTACCATGATTTCATTGATTTTAGATTGAAGAAATTATGTATTAAAATATCCAGAAACAGACTATACTTTTTTCTTTTTGATATGAATATAATATAACCCTTTAGGATGCATTCGACTGCAACAACTGTCATGAAGCATCTGGTTATGATTGAAGGAACTTCTAAGGAATATGTGTCACATTTCACTTTCTTGGTTTTCTTTCTGAGCTAGGCACTCCTTTTTCAACTCAAAATCAAATTCAATGCGAATGATGTAGAAGCAAATTATTGTAATTGAATAGAGTAAAGGATGCTGTATGAAATATGATTCAAAATTCTGTTTCTTGGTTTTCTTGTTGGGGTTATTAACCTAAAAACAGAAAAAACAGTAACTATGACAAAAAAATCACACCTACTGATCGACTAAACCTTTGACAGACCTTACATTTTTAATAAAACTCAAATGGAAAATAACCTAATAATTCAATAATTAAGTTTGTACAAACATTACATTCTAACAATGATTCAAAGGTATGCAACTTCTCTATCAACATTTGCACATACTTTTTTTTCTTTCCTCAAGTATCCATTTTTCTTCAAAAATTTCCAACTGCTCTCAAAATTCCCACTAACCCTCATCGCAATCATGTGAATCTCACCCCTCGAAGGGTATAGAAATGCATTAGAGAATGCAAGCCTCATATCTTATGCCGATTCTTCAGGTTTGTAATACAAACAATTGTTCAATCTGCACTCAATATCCTTCAAACCTATTGGCTAGGATACAGCCTCAGGGTTATCAAGAAACTCGAAAACCATAACATCAAGACGTTGTTTGAAAGCCCAACTATTTCTTTCTACCATCAACCTCTGCAAGATCACCCAACACTGCATCTTGTTGTTTCTATCCATGTTATATGCCCTTTTTTTCTTCTCTTTCTTGCACCCTGCACCTTCATTCTCCAAGTCACAAACTTGGGATGCAGCTGTTGACATTCTTCCGGAGTTTTCTTTGATGAAAGATTTATTTGGTGGGTGTTTAGTAGTTCTATTCTTTTCCAGTGGCGGAGAAATTTCAGAAGCTTTGTTTCTCATTTTCTTGTAACGAAAATCAGCGATATCCATCTGTTGGCACCCTTCTTGGACGGTTCCTGAACGTTTTGCACCATTCATGTAAAGCTTAATCACAAGTGACTTTTGGGGTTCAGCCATTGAAGAGAGTTTGGTTGGGCTTGAGTTTTTACTACCATGATTTCATTGATTTTAGATTGAAGAAATTATGTATTAAAATATCCACAAACAACTTTACTTTTTTCTTTTTGATAAGAATATAAGATAACCCTTTAGGATGCATTCGACTGCAACAACTGTCATTAAGCATCTGGTTATGATTGAACGCACTTCTATGGAATATGTGTCACATTTCACTTTCTTGGTTTTCTTTCTGAGCTAGGCACTCCTTTTTCAACTCAAAATCAAATTCAATGCGTAATGATGTAGAAGTAAATTCTGGTAATTGAATAGAGTAAATGAGGAAGTATGAAATAAGATTCAAAATTCTGTTTCTTTGTTTTCTTGCTGGGCTTATTAACCTAAAAACAGAAAAAAAAACAGTAATTATGACAAAAAGTCACACCTAATGATCGACTAAACCTTTGACAGACCCTACATTTTTAATAAAACTCTAATGGAAAATATTCTAGTAATTCAAGAATTAAGTTTGTACAAACATGACATTCTAACCATGATTCAAAGGTATGCAGCTTCTCTATCAACATTTGCACATACTTTTCTTTCCTTTTCTTTCCTCAAGTATCCATTTTTTCTTCAAATATTTCCAACTGCTCTCAAAATTCCCACTAACCCTCGTCGCAATCATGTGAATCTCACTCCTCGAAAGGTATAGCATGCATTAGAGAATACAATCCTCATATCATCTGTAAATTCTTCAGGTTTGTAACACAAACAATTGTTCAATCTGCACTCAATATCCTTGAAACCTATTGGCTTGGATACAGCCTCAGGGTTATCAAGAAACTCGAAGACCTTAACATCAAGAGGTTGTTTGAAAGCCCAACCATCTCTTCCTACCATCAACCTATTCAAGATCACCAACACTGCATCTTTTTTTTTCTGTCCATGTTATCTGTCCGTTGTTTCTTCTCTTTCTTTGACTTTACTCCTTCCTTCTTCAACTCACAAACTTGGAATGCAGTTCTTGACATTCTTCCAGAGTTTTCTTTGATGAAAGATTTATTTGTTGGGGGTTTAGTCGTTCTATTTTTTTCTAGTGGCGGAGAAATTTCAGAAGCCTTGTTTCTCATTTTCTTGTAAAAAAATCAACGATCTCCATCTGTTGGCACCCTTCTTGGACGGTTCTTGAACGTTTTGCACCATTCATGTAAAGCTTAATCACAAGTGACTTTTGGGGTTCAGCCATTGAAGAGAGTTTGGTTGGGCTTGAGTTTATACTACCATGATTTCATTGATTTTAGATTGAAGAAATTATGTATTAAAATATCCACAAACAAACTATACCTTTTTCTTTTTGATATGAATATAATATAACCCTTTAGGATGCATTCGACTGCAACAACTGTCACGAAGCATCTGGTTATGATTGAAGGCACTTCTAAGGAATATGTGTCACATTTCACTTTCTTGGCTTTCTTTCTGAGCTAGCACTCCTTTTTCAACTCAAAATCAAATTCAATGACTAATGATGTAGAAGCAAATTATTGTAATTGAATAGAGTAAATGATGCAGTATGAAATATGATTCAAAATTCTGTTTCTTGGTTTTCTTGCTGGGTGAAACCTAAAAACAGAAAAAACAGTAACTATGACAAAAAATCACACCTAATGATCGACTAAACCTTTGACAGACCCTACATTTTTAATAAAACTCAAATGGAAAATATTCTAGTAATTCAAGAATTAAGTTTGTACAAACATGACATTCTAACCATGATTCAAAGGTATGCAGCTTCTCTATCAACATTTGCACATACTTTTCTTTCCTTTTCTTTCCTCAAGTATCCATTTTTTCTTCAAATATTTCCAACTGCTCTCAAAATTCCCACTAACCCTCTTCGCAAACATGTGAATCTCACCCCTCGAAGGGTATAGCAATGCATTAGACAATGCAAGCCTCATATCATATGCCGATTCTTCAGGTTTGTAATACAAACAATTGTTCAATCACCACTCAATATCCTTCAAACCTATTGGCTTGGATACAGCCTCAGGGTTATCAAGAAACTCGAAGACCTTAACATCAAGAGGTTGTTTGAAAGCCCAACTATCTCTTTCTACCATCAACCTCTGCAAGATCACCCAACACTGCATCTTGTTGTTTCTGTCCATGTTATATGCCCTTTTTTTCTTCTCTTTCTTGCACCCTGCACCTTCATTGTCCAACTCACAAACTTGGGATGCAGTTCTTGACATTCTTCCGGAGTTTTCTTTGATGAAAGATTTATTTGGTGGGTGTTTAGTAGTTCTATTCTTTTCCAGTGGCGGAGAAATTTCAGAAGCCTTGTTTCTCATTTTCTTGTAACGAAAATCAGCGATCTCCATCTGTTGGCACCCTTCTTGGACGGTTCCTGAACGTTTTGCACCATTCATGTAAAGCTTAATCACAAGTGACTTTTGGGGTTCAGCCATTGAAGAGAGTTTGGTTGGGCTAGAGTTTTTACTACCATGATTTCATTGATTTTAGATTGAAGAAATTATGTATTAAAATATCCACAAACAGACTTTACTTTTTTCTTTTTGATAAGAATATAAGATAACCCTTAGGATGCATTCGACTGCAAAACCTGTCATTAAGCATCTGGTTATGATTGAACGCACTTCTATGGAATATGTGTCACATTTCACTTTCTTGGTTTTCTTTCTGAGCTAGGCACTCCTTTTTCAACTCAAAATCAAATTCAATGCGTAATGATGTAGAAGTAAATTCTGGTAATTGAATAGAGTAAATGAGGAAGTATGAAATAAGATTCAAAATTCTGTTTCTTTGTTTTCTTGCTGGGCTTATTAACCTAAAAACAGAAAAAAAAAAACAGTAATTATGACAAAAAGTCACACCTAATGATCGACTAAACCTTTGACAGACCCTACATTTTTAATAAAACTCTAATGGAAAATATTCTAGTAATTCAAGAATTAAGTTTGTACAAACATGACATTCTAACCATGATTCAAAGGTATGCAGCTTCTCTATCAACATTTGCACATACTTTTCTTTCCTTTTCTTTCCTCAAGTATCCATTTTTTCTTCAAATATTTCCAACTGCTCTCAAAATTCCCACTAACCCTCGTCGCAATCATGTGAATCTCACTCCTCGAAAGGTATAGCATGCATTAGAGAATACAATCCTCATATCATCTGTAAATTCTTCAGGTTTGTAACACAAACAATTGTTCAATCTGCACTCAATATCCTTGAAACCTATTGGCTTGGATACAGCCTCAGGGTTATCAAGAAACTCGAAGACCTTAACATCAAGAGGTTGTTTGAAAGCCCAACCATCTCTTCCTACCATCAACCTATTCAAGATCACCAACACTGCATCTTTTTGTTTCTGTCCATGTTATCTGTCCTTTGTTTCTTCTCTTTCTTTGACTTTACTCCTTCCTTCTTCAACTCACAAACTTGGAATGCAGTTCTTGACATTCTTCCAGAGTTTTCTTTGATGAAAGATTTATTTGTTGGGGGTTTAGTCGTTCTATTTTTTTCTAGTGGCGGAGAAATTTCAGAAGCCTTGTTTCTCATTTTCTTGTAAAAAAATCAACGATCTCCATCTGTTGGCACCCTTCTTGGACGGTTCTTGAACGTTTTGCACCATTCATGTAAAGCTTAATCACAAGTGACTTTTGGGGTTCAGCCATTGAAGAGAGTTTGGTTGGGCTTGAGTTTATACTACCATGATTTCATTGATTTTAGATTGAAGAAATTATGTATTAAAATATCCACAAACAAACTATACCTTTTTCTTTTTGATATGAATATAATATAACCCTTTAGGATGCATTCGACTGCAACAACTGTCACGAAGCATCTGGTTATGATTGAAGGCACTTCTAAGGAATATGTGTCACATTTCACTTTCTTGGCTTTCTTTCTGAGCTAGCACTCCTTTTTCAACTCAAAATCAAATTCAATGACTAATGATGTAGAAGCAAATTATTGTAATTGAATAGAGTAAATGATGCAGTATGAAATATGATTCAAAATTCTGTTTCTTGGTTTTCTTGCTGGGTGAAACCTAAAAACAGAAAAAACAGTAACTATGACAAAAAATCACACCTAATGATCGACTAAACCTTTGACAGACCCTACATTTTTAATAAAACTCAAATGGAAAATATTCTAGTAATTCAAGAATTAAGTTTGTACAAACATGACATTCTAACCATGATTCAAAGGTATGCAGCTTCTCTATCAACATTTGCACATACTTTTCTTTCCTTTTCTTTCCTCAAGTATCCATTTTTTCTTCAAATATTTCCAACTGCTCTCAAAATTCCCACTAACCCTCGTCGCAATCATGTGAATCTCACTCCTCGAAAGGTATAGCATGCATTAGAGAATACAATCCTCATATCATCTGTAAATTCTTCAGGTTTGTAACACAAACAATTGTTCAATCTGCACTCAATATCCTTGAAACCTATTGGCTTGGATACAGCCTCAGGGTTATCAAGAAACTCGAAGAGCTTAACATCAAGAGGTTGTTTGAAAGCCCCACCATCTCTTCCTACCATCAACCTATTCAAGATCACCAACACTGCATCTTTTTGTTTCTGTCCATGTTATCTGTCCTTTGTTTCTTCTCTTTCTTTGACTTTACTACTTCCTTCTTCAACTCACAAACTTGGGATGCAGTTCTTGACATTCTTCCCGAGTTTTCTTTGATGAAAGATTTATTTGGTGGGGGTTTAGTCGTTCTATTTTTTCCAGGGGCGGAGAAATTTCAGAAGCCTCGTTTCTCATTTTCTTGTAACGAAAATCAACGATCTCCATCTGTTGGCATCCTTCTTGGACGGTTCTTGAACATTTTGTACCATTCATGTAAAACTTAATGACAAGTGACTTTTCGGGTTCAGCCATTGAAGAGAGTTTGGTTGGGCTTTGGTTTTTACTACCATGATTTCATTGATTTTAGATTGAAGAAATTATGTATTAAAAAAATCCACAAACAGACTATACTTTTTTCTTTTTGATATGAATAAAATATAAACCTTCAGGATGCATTCGAATGCAACAACTGTCATGAAGCATCTGGTTATGATCTAAGGCACTTCTAAGGAATATGTGTCACATTTCACTTTCTTGGTTTTCTTTCTGAGCTAACACTCCTTTTTCAACTCAAAATCAAATTCAATGGCTAATGATGTAGAAGCAATTTCTTGTAATTGAACAGAGTAAATGATGTAGTATGAAATATGATTCAAAATTCTGTTTCTTGGTTTTCTTGCTGGGATTTTTAACCTAAAAATAGAAAAAAACAGTAACTATGACAAAAAAATCACACCTAATGATCGACTAAACCTTTGACAGACCCTACATTTTTAATAAAACTCAAAAGGAAAATAACCTAGTAATTCAAGAATTAAGTTTGTACAAACATGACATTCTAACTATGATTCAAAGGTATGCAGCTTCTCTATCAACATTTGCACATACTTTTCTTTCCTATTCTTTCCTCAAGTATCCACTTTTTCTTCAAATATTTCTAACTGCTCTCAAAATTGCCACTAACCCTCATCGCAATCATGTGAATCTCACTCCTCGAAGGGTATAGCAATGCATTAGAGAATACAAGCCTCATATCATCTGCAAATTCTTCAGGTTTGTAACACAAACAATTGTTCATTCTGCACTCAATATCCTTCAAACCTATTGTCTTGGATACAGCCTCAGGGTTATCAAGAAACTCGAAGACCTTAACATCAGGAGGTTGTTTGAAAGCGCAACTATCTCTTTCTACCATCAACCTCTTCAAGATCACCCAACACTGCAACTTTTTGTTTCTGTCCATGTTATCTGTCATTTGTTTCTTCTCTTTCTTTGACTTTACACCTTCCTTCTTCAACTCACAAACTTGGGATGCAGTTCTTGAACTTCTTCCGGAGTTTTCTTTGATGAAAGATATATTTGATGGGTGTTGAGTCGTTCTATTCTTTTCTAGTGGCGGAGAAATTTCAGAAGCCTTGTTTCTCGTTTTCTTATAACGAAAATCATCGATCTCCATCTGTTGGCACCCTTCTTGGACGGTTCTTGAACATTTTGCACCATTCATGTAAAGCATAATGACAAATGACTTTTGGGGTTCAGCCATTGAAGAGAGTTTGTTGGGCTTGGATTTTTACTACCATGTTTTCATTGATTTTAGATTGAAGAAATTATGTATTAAAATATCCAGAAACAGACTATACTTTTTTCTTTTTGATATGAATATAATATAACCCTTTAGGATGCATTCGATTGCAACAACTGTCATGAAGCATCGGGTTATGATTGAAGGCACTTCTAAGGAATATGTGTCACATTTCTCTTTCTTGGTTTTCTTTCTGAGCTAGGCACTCCTTTTTCAACTCAAAATCAAATTCAATGGCTAATGATGTAGAAGAAAATTCTTGTAATTGTATAGAGTAAATGATGCAGTATGAAATATGATTCAAAATTCTGTTTCTTGGTTTCTTGTTGGGCTTATTAACCTAAAAACAGAAAAAACAGTAACGATGACAAAAAAAATCACACCTAAAAATCGACTAAACCTTTGACAGACCCTATATTTTTAATAAAACTCAAATGGAAAATAACCTAGTAATTCAAGAATTAAGTTTGTACAAACATGACATTCTAACCATGATTCAAAGGTATGCAGCTTCTTTATCAACATTTGCACATACTTTTCTTTCCTTTTCTTTCCTCAAGTATCCACTTTTTCTTGAAATATTTCTAACTGCTCTCAAAATTCCCACTAACCCTCATCGCAATCATCTGAACCTCCATCTGTTGGCACCCTTCTTGGATGGTTCTTGAACGTTTTGCACCTTTTATGTAAATCTTAATCACAAGTGACTTTTGGAGTTCAGCCATTGAAGAGAGTTTGAGTGGAAAAAACAAGAAAAAAGAAAACAGGATTGGTGGAGGGTGTCTATATCTTTCAGTAACCAGGAAACAGGATTTGGTTTTTTATAGTTTTGTTTGTTGAGGGCTTCTTTTAGTTTTATAGTATTGGTGGAGGGTGCTCCATATCTTTAAGTAACCAGGAAACAAGGATTTCCCAGATTTATGTATCTCAAATTTTCAATATAAATTTTATGTTTCTAAATTTTTTATACTTTAATTACGTTTTCAAATAGATATTTATTAATTATAAAATTATATCTAAGCTTTTAAAATCTCTACATCACTTCGATAGTTATAAACATCACTTTACATTTTTTAAAATGTTAAAAGCATAAAAATGTAGTAAAAAAATTTATGGAACTTATTTAAAATTTATGTATTGATTTGTGGCAAAAAAAAAAATTGAGAGTGCTATAAAAAATCTTGTTGAAATTTAATTTTTACTGAGAAAATTAAAAAATTTAAAATTTTCACATGTATTGGAAATATTATTAATTATTAAAAATCTCGATGGTAAGTATTAATGAATGAAGATATCTCTATTCAAGAAAACAATCAAAAGTGATGAGTTCTATGTTTTTTATATAAAAAAAACGGTTCAAAGTTATTGGAAAAATGATTAAATTTTTGCTTACATTGTATATTTGTATGCAAATATTATTTTATTAAAAAAATTAAATTATGAAAAATTAATATTTTGTATTGACTATTTAAAAAAAATGTTAAATATTAGAGGTGTTCGCGATCTGGATTGGATCAGTTTTGCAAGCAAAAATCATCTGATCCAATCTCTTTGGTTTGATCATTTAATAATCCATTTGGTTGAGATGTTTTTCCAAATCCAATCCGATTCAATCCAATTTTATTCGGTTTGAATTTAATCTATTTTCAATTTTTTTAAAAGCATAATATTTGTATAATAATTATTGTGCAAATAATATATCTTTTGTATGTATTGCGTTTGCAAAGATTGTATGTTGATTATTGTGTAATCTAGAAGAACAAGTGAACGATAATCTAATTTTCTGTATAGTACAAAAAAAAGTTGAATTACTATCTTTTACCTCCAGCAAAAAATTTACAACGTGGTTGCCTGAGATACGGAGTAACCCAAATTTTCATCCTATAGAGTAGCTGTTGTACAACAATAACCCATGCAATAAAAGCTGTTGTACAACAATAATCCATGCAATAGAAATACATGATGTAGCTTATTATATATATATATATATATATATATATCTTACCCAAAAAAAAATCACAAAGATCAAGAACAACTCACTTTCTCCAACATAATGGGTTGATGGCTCTTGGGTTTAGAATTTTGCTATATGATTTTTGGACTATTATTGGGGAATACGCCCAAGTAGGTAGATGGAGAGGTAATATATTGGATCGGTTTGGATTATATTGTTTTTCACCAACCAAATCGAAAATTGATTCAATCCAATTAAATTTTGCAGTTTTTTTCCATTTTTTATTTTTCGGTTTTTGATTTTTCGGTGATCGCGGTTTGAATCGGTTTGGATCGGTTGATGAACACTCCTATTAAATATTTATTTATTAAAATAATTTTGAAAGCATTGAATTGATTAAAAGAAGGCTTTAATGCAAACCATTGAGACCTCATTCTTGACATTCTTGAGTAAGCCCCGGACTTGTGGTGGGTATTCATTTCTTGCAGCAGCAAAAAAACAAACAAACGAGAAAACAGATCTTGAAAAAATAAAAGAACACAAGAAAACAGACGAAAAGTAGTTTTGTTTTGGAGAGAGCTCGAGTTAATTGTGTCTTATATAGTAGTATTATTAGTTTGTTACTTGGCAAAGAAGTAATAAATATAAGATTAGATTTAGAAAGAAAAAAACAACAACTCTTTTCAAGATAAGAATTTTTATAAAATTATGTTTGACTAAACTTTTAGAGAAAAGAAGTTAAAAATAAAATTCTCACACAAGCACTAAAGTAAATATCAAACTATTTATACATAAGAAATATATACTTAAAAATTCAAAACGTGTGATTTTGCATTTTTAAATTTATTTATTTTTTAATGTACAAAAACAATTATAGAAACAACTATGTTATGTAATTGTTTAATCCCAACGACAAGTAGTTCTTAAACTTAATTAAAGCTTAAGCACAAAATTGTAATATACAATTTATTTTATTTTATTTTATTTTTTAACAGGACTTAAATTTGAAATCACAGTTTACCACCAATTTTTTTTTTTGAAATCACCAGCTAATTTAAAACAAACAATCACTTACCAGTTAACACATGAATTTGAAAGCTATCGGTAAGAAAACACACCTCAGCTGTCATCGTTGTTATCAGCTCACCACCCATAATTCTCTTCTTTGTTAGGATTATCTAGTTATCTACCGTAAATATTCTTCACAAATTCATCATTAAATTTAAGGGATAAACTTTTATCATAACCAATTAAAACATTCAACTATATTTTAAAATATATTTATCAGTAAAAATATTGAAAAGACAATATTTAACTAATTTTTATCCCAAATAATTAAGGGGACGGTTAAACTTACCATCAGGTAAGTTTACCACTCTTACAACCACGATCATCACTGTTAGATTAGAATTAAATCTAACGGTTCATAATTATCTCTTATAATCCTAATTTCTCCCATCCCCTATTTGTCTCTCTCTCTTTCTCTCTAAGTTTGGAATCTACACATCTCTCTCTAGGTTATGGAATCACCTTTTCCATCTGCTCTTCATCGTTACTGCATTCTAGTGAACTTGCAATAATGGGGAAATTGATCCCAATCTATCTTTGAATACTTGGAAAATATATTTTGTTACCGCATTCTTTAGTTAATCATTAATCTTAGTTTATTTTATTTCTTAATTGTTAAATTATTCATTAGCCAACTACAAATCATCTTTGTTACCTTAATTGCTTCACTGAGAGCTATAACTTTATTTAATCTCTGTGGGAACGATATCTGGACTCACACATCCATTTTATTACTTGTTGATACGTGCACTTGCGTACTTGTGTGATTTATATAATTGATTGCGAAATTGTACAACAAAATGTCCAAAGGGGAATGAATGAATCGTGCAAGAAGGTATACTACATTGCCTTCATGGTGGTGCATGACGGTTGAAAGGGCTTTTTGGTTCGAATATAAAGAGAGGAAAAAATGAGGGAGAAAGAACGTTCTGTTTGCTGCCTTTTTAAAAACGTTGAACACGAATGGTAATCGATTACCCTTCGTGGTAATCGGTTAGCAAGAGAATGGTAATCGATTACCTTTGTGATTTGGGCATATTGGAAATAGCAGAAACAGAAGAACGAGAAGGGGGAAATACACTCTTTTTAATTATGGAAGATGTTTCTTAAAAAAATAAGTGGAGATGCTCTCTTTAAACATGGAAAATGTTTCTTAAAAAGATAAGTGGATTCAAACATTAAAGCAAGTGAAGCAAATCAAACACATAATGATGTAATTATATATAGGATGGATCAATGAGACTAATTTCTGTTCTTAAGTTTTAGAATACTTCCTTTGGGAGTGGTTTGGTGAAGATGTCAGCCAATTGCTTTGAAGATTCCACAAATTCCAAGATACAATCACCATTTTGCACATGATCTCTTATGAAATGATGCCTAATGTCAATATGTTTGGTTCTTGAGTGCATTATGGGATTCTTTGTGAGGTTTATGGCACTAGTTTATCACACCTTAAGGGGATGTGATCAAGTTCAACCCCAAAGTCCTTGAGTTGTTGTTTCATCCAAATGATTCGAGCACAACAACTATCGACTGCCACATATTCAGTTTCTGTCTTAACAAAGCCACACTATTTTGTTTCTTGCTATGCCAATACACTAAAGAGCAACCAAGAAAGTGGCAAGTACCACTAGTGCTCTTCCTCTCCAATTTGCATCCTGCAAAATCGAAATCGGAATAGCCAATTAACTCACATGATGCACCCTTAGGGTACCATAATCCCACTTGTGAAGTGCCTACAAGATATCTCATAATTCTTTTTCCGGTACTTAAGTGTAATTCCTTAAGATTAGCTTGAAATATAGCACACATGCACTCACTAAATATAATATCGGGCCTACTTGCGGTTAAGTAAAGGAGAGAGCCAATTATACCTCGATATTTAGTAATTTCTATGGATTTACCTCCTTTATCCTTGCCTAAAGAGCAAGATGTATCC